GTGCCGCAGTGCCGGGTGAGGCCTCCCGATTGGGAACCTGGCCGGGGTCATTCAAAGCAAGTGGACTTGAGGTGCATCATTGCCCGAAGCTCCCCATTTCAGCCGTATGCCAGGATTCTAGGCCCCAAGACTGGCCTCATTGTGTTGTCATGGTCAAAGTCACCCGCTAAGTGGTGGGTTAAAGGGAAACAACCCCATTTTCTGACTTTGATAACCCCCGGAAACCGCCAAAATTCTGACCCCAGCGAGACCCCATGGGATGGGAGGCTCCCCGTCTTTCGGCCGCCCGGGGTGTAAGAAGCCACGGCTTGAAGCTCGCGCCCTGCCCTGGGCCGCTGAACCGAAATCTGCGGAACACCGCGCTCGGCCAACCACTTCAGACACAATTTGCCAGGTGTTCAGTGGACTCTGTTTGGTAGGTTCCCACTCAAAATTTGGTCAACAGATGACATCAGATGACTCTACCAGAACCACCGGGCTTCAGTGACATTCGCCTCAAGTATGTCTTCTGGATGTCTCAGCCTTTGGGTCCCAGTCACCAGGCCAAGCAGCCGCAAGGAGCCGAGACGGCGAAGCTGGCCGAGGGGTAAACGGTGGGCACACGCCGCTCAGTTTCTCGCTGGACGGATTTGGGTCCGCTTGGGATCAGGGCTTTGGTCTGGCCCGGACTCACCCGGATCAGACCTTTTGTGCGAGAGCGCCAATGAAAAAGGCACGCATGCTGCCAAAACAACGAGCTACTCTGAGCCAAGCATGGGTTTGCATTTGCTAGAAGGTTTGCATATGCATATAAATGAGACAAGCTCATGAAGAAGCATGTGCTCTTCACAGGCCACAGAGTTTCTTTGCACTAGCCGCGAATCTGCTTTTTTTTATGGGACTTGGCTATAGGGGGGATGACGAGGGCATGGATCCCTTGTGAGTTCTTGCAAAGGCCTGGTGGCCAGCCTCTGGGGATGACTGCGAGTGAATGAAATAAGAAGGCCAAGAGGTGGCAGAACTGTAGGAAAGCAGCCGATAGGTGGCGATCGCCATCTCAGAAACCCCAAGTGGACAAAGGAAAGGGCCGAGGATAGCAAAGGTGGTTTGCCGCCAATTGCCATGCATGTGCCAAAAGAAGTTTCAGCCCGGGGATTCAATGGACGTTAACAAATATGTCACTCAACAGCCGCTTGGGCAAGTGAGGCATGACTTGGGCGTGTCTTAAAATAGGGGCACCTCCAATTTGGTGGTGTTCCTGTTGGTTTCCTTTTAGACACCCCAAAACAAGGACTTTGAATAAGCTCAGGTGATTCCCTAACTGCATGCGGTGTTCTTTGTAGTGCTCGCCCCACCGCAGTCCTTGCACCTTGTGGAACCCTGGTGGAACCCTTGTGGAACCTTACCTCAGGGCCGTCCCGGACCACCCCGGAGCCTATCTGGGCTGAGACCCCAAAGCTTTCAGCTGTTGGGGAAAAATGACTGATCCACATGGGCCACGTAATGTTTTTCTCCACCGGCAGCACGTCAATTCCCAGCCCCGCTTAAGGTCCAGCGGGAGGTGGAGGTGATGCTCAAAAAGCTGCCGCCAAAAGGGCCCAGGCTTGCAATGGGCTACCAGGCTAGGTCCCCCAGTAGTGCCCTTTTACCCTTTTTGTGGGGAGGGTTCCCCTACTAAAATAGACTACACAAAAAAGGGGTACCCTTATTCTAACCGCTCTACTGGAGGACATAGCAGGGCTTCTAGGGCGTTTTGAATTGATATGACTTTGCTTAAAAAGGGTGGCGGACTTTGTTTGAACCAAGAATTATGCAACGGATATTGACTTGTTGGTGGATTTGTGGTATGTACGTGCTTGAGGTGGTTGCGCCAGGAGTCTGAGTGTGAACAAGTACATCGAAACCGTTCGTCGCCACATTTGTTGTGGCTCGAGCCAAGGGCTGCTTGGTTTGAACCAATAGTCTGAGCGTGAATGAAACCAGATTTCACACATGTTTGCTGCAATTAATTAGGCAGCACGTATATGACCAGTTCTTATTTTCCTTTGCATTTTGCTTGGATGTTATGACTTTCACTTTTTGCCAACTCATGGTTTTCCATTGAACCGCTCAAAGTTTCAAAAGATATAAATAATAATAATCAAAATAATAATAATAATAAATTAATAATAATACTAATAATAATAGTAATAATAGTAATAATAGTAATAATAATGATACTAAACCTTTTAGCAGGGGAGCAGATTTCGCAACCGAACTGTGGCCCACACGTCTTTCCCTCTGGACTTCTCGGGCCGCCAGGCTCATCGCCAACCTCGGGGAGGGCCTCAATGGCCAAGAGCGCCGGGCGGCCCTGGCTCCCGACCTGGCAGGGTTTGGCTTGGGCCAAAGGCCACGGTCCGTTCCGAGTGGGTCAAGTGGTCAGATGGTCAGGTGGTGGGATGCAGGAGGTTGACTGGGTGGTGTTAACCCGCCGGATCTAAGGAGAAATTCCGGTTTTTGATAAAACGGGGTTCTCTTTGAGTGGGGGTTCAGACCACTTTTGGAGGGAACACCCCCTAAAGATGGGACAGGTTTATGAATCCTGGGTCGACATTCTGATCATCTCGCATCTATTTGCCTATTCTATAGCGACCTCTGGGGGTAGAACGTCACCATGATAAAGGTCCTTTACTTGGAGATCCCATTCTCAATTCAGCTTTTGGAGTCAAAAAAGCAAAACATTTGCAGATCTATGCAAGAGTTCTGCCAGATGGTTGTGGTTTCCACTACGGCTGAGGGGCCCCCCCCATGTTGACACACGCCAGTCCTTCCGCCGCATTCCTGCGGCCTACGTGCGCTGTTTGAAAGAACCTGCAGGGCAATGAGTCGGTTTGTAAAGATGCGCGCATGCCGCACAAATATCATCCCTTGAGGGAAGCCTTGAAGAGACCCCAAAGAAACCTGCCACAGGTACTATGCTATTTGTGCCTTATGGATGGGACAGGCTTTCACAAGGCCGAACTGAGAAAAAAGGGATTTGGAATGAATTGCGTGTTGCGTTCCCCAACGACGCATCAACATTTTATCAATGTCGGGGTTGCATGGAGTTTTCATCGACTTCTATAGATTCTATAGTTGCCGTTGCTCCTGGCGTGCGATTCCTTGGCTTGGTAGGCAGGTGTCTAGGTCCGGTGTCTTTGGCAACATCTTGGGAAGTGTTAGTGCCATCACCCTCTAGGTCTGTGACGTGATCCATGCTGCTAGTTGTTTCGGGTCCCAGTTTGCACAGTTTATACCGACCTCGCAGAGTTGATTGAGAACTCGGATCTGTGGGTCAGGTTAAATGCCAGCGCTCCTGGAAGTGGACAAAATGGGATTCGCTCATGTCCAGAGTCTTTTGAAGACTCTAGCCATCTCTTGCCTGCATTCACTTCCAGTGCTTATCTTCCAGTTCACTTCGGGGCTTCTCCGTTGAGTCCGTGCGCCAAGTTTGTAGGGGTTGATTCCCCATTCTTTTCAACCATCGTTCTTTTCAATAGCCAGCTGTTTCCCCAGGGTTGTTGGTGGTTTTCTAAGAAGGATGTAGGGGTTGATTCCCCATTCTTTTCAACCATCGTTCTTTTCAATAGCCAGCTGTTTCCCCAGGGTTTTTGGTGGTTTTCGAAGAAGGATGTAGGGGTTGATTCCCCATTCTTTTCAATCATCGTTCTTTTCAATAGCCAGCTGTTTCCCCAGGGTTTTTGGTGGTTTTCTAAGAAGGATGTAGGGGTTGATTCCCCATTCTTTTCAACCATCGTTCTTTTCAATAGCCAGCTGTTTCCCCAAGGTTTTTGGTGGTTTTCTAAGAAGGATGTAGGGGTTGATTCCCCATTCTTTTCAACCATCGTTCTTTTCAATAGCCAGCTGTTTCCCCAGGGTTTTTGGTAGTTTTCTATCAGGATGTAGGGGTTGATTCCCCATTCTTTTCAACCATCGTTCTTTTCAATAGCCAGCTGTTTCCCCAGGGTTTTTGGTGGTTTTCTAAGAAGGATGTAGGGGTTGATTCCCCATTCTTTTCAACCATCGTTCTTTTCAATAGCCAGCTGTTTCCCCAAGGTTTTTGGTGGTTTTTGAAGAAGGATGTAGGGGTTGATTCCCCATTCTTTTCAATCATCGTTCTTTTCAATAGCCAGCTGTTTCCCCAGGGTTTTTGGTGGTTTTCTATCAAGGATGTAGGGGTTGATTCCCCATTCTTTTCAACCATCGTTCTTTTCAATAGCCAGCTGTTTCCCCAGGGTTTTTGGTGGTTTTCTAAGAAGGATGTAGGGGTTGATTCCCCATTCTTTTCAACCATCGTTCTTTTCAATAGCCAGCTGTTTCCCCAAGGTTTTTGGTGGTTTTTGAAGAAGGATGTAGGGGTTGATTCCCCATTCTTTTCAATCATCGTTCTTTTCAATAGCCAGCTGTTTCCCCAGGGTTTTTGGTGGTTTTCTAGAAGGATGTAGGGGTTGATTCCCCATTCTTTTCAACCATCGTTCTTTTCAATAGCCAGCTGTTTCCCCAGGGTTTTTGGTGGTTTTCTAAGAAGGATGTAGGGGTTGATTCCCCATTCTTTTCAACCATCGTTCTTTTCAATAGCCAGCTGTTTCCCCAGGGTTTTTGGTGGTTTTCTAAGAAGGATCCCTGGAAGGAATGGAATTGGAAGCTACCCCTAGAAAGTTCCATTTCCCATAAAAGCCGCCGGCGGTTTTTCCAGGCCCGGAGCTGGTCCAGGCCTTCGTGGACGCGGTGCACGCGTGGAAGCGCTGAGCCACACGCGAGCCGAGGTTTTTCGAGGAAAAAGATGGCCAGACTCCATCGCTTGCGCTTGCACTTGCTGGCTTTGAGGGGAATGAGAAATGGAGTGACCAGGAGGCCATCTTGAATGCCGGTCCCTCCAACCCTTGGAGAATTGGTTTACGATGCGTGGCCGACGCGGAGACTCTAAGAAAAAGAGGCTTCCTTTTTGCCTTGGGTTGCCCATCTATTTGTTCCTACCAGGATTGCGATGGCTGGTGCCG